AAGAGACTCCACCGGACTCTGTCTTGTATCTATCTTTTGCGTCTCTCGCCCCTTTTTCCCCCTTCCTCCGTCCCACTCTCTCTCTTGCTAGACCCTGACCTGCGGACCAGACCGGAGCAGCAGAACCTGCTGGCCTTTACAAAGTAACAGAACCTGACTGCCGTTACAAAAGAAATGGCAGTTACACTGGTGTTACAGGACTGTGTCAGTGCACCTGACTTCAGAAGGTCATTAAGGGAGAAGAGTGGAAACTTGCTTTATCATTCATAAAATAGCAACTTTACTCAATGGGGGCTTAAAAACAGCAGCCATTATACACAGCCTTACTAAAATAGCAAATCAATGACGAGGTCCTTTCTTCTCCAGTCCCTGCCAAGGAATTGTCACTTATACGAATACCCCAGGAGAAAGAGGCTTCTTGTGCCAGTGTCCCCCTGGGTATAGAGGGTTGATCTGTGGTACTGCCACTAATTCCTGCAGAGGGAAGCCTGCCAGCATAGAGCACCTGCCATAAAGACCCTGAGCATCCTGTCTGTATCTGCCCTGCTGGATATGCTGGAAGTTTCTGTGAGACAGATGACAATGAGTATGCTTCCAGTCATTGCCACAATGGGACTGTGTGCCAGGATGGAATCAGTGGCTACTCCTGCTTCTGTGTGCCTGGATACCAAGGCAGGCATTGTGACTTGGAAGTGGATGAATGTGTTTCTGGTCCTCGAATGCATGAGGCTGTATGCCTCAATGAGATAGGGAGATATATGTGTGTCTTTCCTCAAGAGCGTTCTGCTGTGCTGAATGTAGATCCCATCCAAGTCTACACAGTGCCATGTGTCAGGATGCTCTTGGGACTTACTTCTACGACTGTGCACCTGGATTCCATGGAAACCACTGTGAACTCAACTTCGATGAATGTGCCAGTCAGCCATATCTCCATGGAGATCTATGTGTGGATGGAGGAAACAACTACCGCTGTGACTGCATGACGGGTAGAGGATTCACAGGGATGCACTGAGACTTCAATGCCTCATTGTTGGTCAAAGCCTTGTCACAAGATGCAACATGTGAAGACCCTGTTGACAGCTGTATTTGTCACAGCTGGCCTGGATACACAGGTACCCTGTGTGAGACAGACATAAATGAATGCAGTTACAACCCCCACTAATTGGGGGTTGGAGGAGTCCTCACAGGATCTTTAGGACACATTGTAGGCCTGACTTCCTCTCTTAATTACTGGGAGCCTCAGACTATGTATCTGTCAGCCTGGATTCACAGACAGGAGCCTAGCAGAACTGTCTTCCTAGAGGCTCTATCCAGCAGCTGACCGAAACAGATGAAGAAACACACAGCCAAACATTAGAACGAGCTCTGGAAGCCTTGTGAAAGAGTTGTGGGAAGGACTGAGGAACCTGGAGGGGAAAGGGACGCCACAAGAAGACCAAGAGAGTCAATTAATCTGGACCCTTGGGGGCTCACAGAGACTGAATCATGAACCAACGAGCATATAGCGGCTGGACCTAAGCCCCACACACATATGTAGCAGGTGTATAGGTTTGTTTTCATCTGAGTCTCCCAATAATTGGACTGGGGGCTATCCATGACACTGTCGCCTGCCTGTAGGTCCTATTCTCCCAACTGGGCTGCCTTGTCTGGCCACACTGGGAGAGGATATGTCAGGTCCTACAGTGATGTGATGTGCCAGGGTGGGTGGATACCTAGGGGGTTCCCCCTTCTCAGAAGTGAAGGAGAGGGATGGGAGAAGACCCTGTGTGAGAGGGACACTTGGAGGAAGGGAGGCTGTGATTGGGATGTCAAGTGAATAAATAAATTAATGGGAAAAAAAGAGTGAAATCACTTTTTTATTCATGAAAATAGTCATTTCACTCGACAGGGGCTCACACACAACAATTATATACAGTGTATAGCTTTAATAAAACAGCCAATCACTGACAAGAACAAAAGCAATAACATCAATTAAAACCTTGAAACCAATGAAAACCTCAAAGAAAACAATATCTAAGCTAGAAAATTGATTTAAAAATTGATTAAAAGATTGATTAAAAAATAGATTGTAGCAAGACCTACCCCATCTGTCTGGCCTTGGGTACAGATTGTAATAGCCTATCAAGTCAAGGGTGGCCATGCCTCTAGGGGCTTTGAAGATAAAACTCTCCCAAGGCCAAGGATGAGACAGTTTCAGGCTTTTGTTCAAAGTCTTTCTAATTCTCTTTGCTCATCTCTACTAAAGGATCCCTGATGGTCCTGATGGTGCTAATTTACACTCCCAGACTCCTCCCAGGTGCCAGCAGCTCTGGCTGTGCCTCAGCAATGCTCTGAAGCCTTCAGCAAGAGGGGAGCCTCAGTCTCTGTGGGGAAATGTATCCCCGGGGAAATGTATCCCACAGTGCTACCTGGGCCACAGCATTTCCTCTTCTCAAACCTTTCCATCCAAAGGAGATAAGTGGAAGTTCATCTGCCTGGTGTGGAGCATCTGCCTGCCCAGAGGCGTCGAAGATGGCTCAGACATTCTCTATAGATCCTTTCTCATCCAGGCTGTGAAATTGCAAAATCCAGCCGCCATTATTATTTCTATTATTATTATTATTCAAGTGACTGCCATGAGAGGGGTGGCCATCCTCACTGCAGTGCACTCTCTTCAGCAATTCTTGTGTGTGACATGGACTCAGCTTCTGTACTGACTGAGAGGGCACCCTATGCTCTGGGTGTGGTTGATATCTGACTCACTGTGGAGTTCTCAGCTACAATGAGGTGGCTTTTTTGAGGAGGTCTTGATCCTAGACTGATGAATGTCATGAATTCAAGTTGTCCATGTTTTCCTTCATCATCCTCATTTCTCTCAGGGGTTCTGTAAGACAAGGAAAGGCAATCAGACTCAGAAGCATCCTGGCTGGGCCACTGGCTACACAAAATCAGTACCTATTCTCACAAAGGAAACCGATGTCAAGGAGGAAAGCCCACCCCATGGATGCCATGGTTGCTAAGGATGGGCTCAGAGGTGGCTCACTTACCTGGCATGCTCATTGTTCCTTCTGCAGCAGCTCTGTCTGCAGGAGGCTCTGGTCCTGGTCTCTGGTCTGTTTGAGTTCGTGCTGAATTTTTTTTATACCTAGAGGAGGAAGGTAGCTGGGACACAGGCCTGGTGGGGACCTGCCATGTCAGCTGTTCAGACTCCACCAGCTCTAGCAACTGGACAATGCACCATGACCTTTCAGAGGTCATTCTGGGCACCCCCAGGGGAGAAGGGTCAGACAGTAACTAGGCCTGGATTTTTTTTTCCCTCAGCCTTTAAAACTCTTAGAATTCTAACTGAGATATACCCATCATGCTGGACTAGGGAAAAAAAAAACCCTGCATTTCTAAAGTGGTGCAAAAGCATTATTTTTAGAAAATAGCAGCATAGCTATCCTGAGTCACAGTTCAGGAGAGATAAGCACGGCCTTGATTAGATGCCAGGTGAACGTGGACAACCCGGGAACCTCTATGCAGGTCTCTAGGGAGACTATGCAGGACTACAGTGAAGGGTCAGATTATTCCTACAGCTCAGATTCCTGTAGGAGATCAACTCATCCACCCTTAAATGTGTTCTTAACAAGAGAACCTTCTCACAGGAACCCAGGGATACCAGGGAGAAGAAAGTTAACTCTTCTTGGAAGGGAGAACACAGTGGGCAGAGGACATGGACAGCCTGGTCAATGAATTGCTTGCCCTGGAAATCTAAGGCAAAGACTGGCAGACCTCCTGGCATCCTGTGCCTGTTAGCCAGCCTGCTTTGCAAGCTCCCCAGGCTGAGCAGTGTTGGCTTGTTTCCCAGCACAGGAACACTGGACAGTGGCGGACCAGGCCCTTGCTCTGGGGCTCACTCTTCCAGGCAGCTCCAAGGTGAGCAGCTTCCTCCAAATGCAGCTCCCTTTATCATAGGCTGCCATACTTTGGCCCAAACCAATGAGCCTGGGAAGCTAGAAAATGCAAATATTCCAGCTCTCTAATCTACTCTCTCCTAGGTGTGCCTCCTGTGCCCTCCCTGAATGCTAGACTCCACAGGGATGGTTGGACTGTATCTTTCAGATGTTAAAGTAAATGTGAAACTGATCTGGAGATACATCTTGTAGAGGTGAGAAGTTGAGTCCACAATGAAGTTTGTTGACCTTCCCTGTGACCAGTGAGGCTAAGACTCTGCCTAACAAAGAAAATTTCAAAGAGACCCTGTTGACTGACTGAGTGGGCGTGGTCATCAAGGCTTTTGCCCTCAACAATAGTGCGAATGAACAATTTTTTTTACTACTTAAGTAGCCTGTGATGGCAAGTCTTGGTTGTCCAGGTAACATCTGGAATTTACTAAAACACAAATACTAAGCATATCTGTTGTCAATGTCTAGTGTGTTGGGGTCCCTGGGTAGGGTCAGGACACGGGGGATGCAGAGTAATCATGAGCCACTGCACACTCTATTGAATTCTCCAGCATTGTTTAAAGGCAAGCAGAATAAAGCTTCTAATTCTCAGCAGCTTCTGTTTCTCAAGCAATAGTTTACCTGGGTTCAAGGTAACCTAAACCTCCTCACAGACTGAGAATTCTGTCAGCAGTCCAACTCTTTTCTCATGAGAAGATGACCATGAAGGCCACTTCCTCAGGCATGCGGCTTACTTGGCGAACATCAGGATTCTCTGCTGAGAAAGTATGCTTTCTCGGTGTCCCGGTGTGCTGGGATTCACAGATACCCTTAAGTCACCTTGCAGCTAGCAGGCTGGGAGCAGTCACCTCATGCCATTTCTCTACAACCTGTGAGGGACTTTTTTTTCCTAATTAAATCACATGAAATGGGATGATATAATTGTAACATGGATCTTTGAGGTAGGAAGATAACACTTTCATCTAGATCTTTAGAGATGTGAAGACCTACCATTACTCTGAGCCACACCTTCTGCTGTCAGCACATATGAAGCATGTGAAGGAAGGCAGTTCTCTCTTTTGCCTGCTTGCTCCTGCCTTTCCTAGTGAGTCCATTTCTTCAGTAGTATTAGAGCCAACTTCTTCAAGATTCTAACTTATAGGTATATATTGAAGACCAGCTGAGACATCTAGCTACCTCATGAACTGAACTACAAGATTCTTCAATATTGTTGGATTAGATGGACCACAGCCTATAATTCATCCTAATACATTCTATTAAATAATATACATATATAATATTTATTACATATATGTTTATATTTAAATATATTTAAAAATACATATTTATTATATAGATAACAGAAAGAGTTTCATTTTATAAGTTCTGTTACTTCAGAGAAGCTTGACTAATATACAACAAAACATAAGTTAAATTCATTGCCTTAAGTATATTCAAGTACAGTGAGGGACTATACCTAGTCTTGTGTCTTAACCTATCTGATCATGTGAGAAAAATCAAACAACATTCCCCCCAGCTCTTTGTCTTTCTCACAGAGATATATAACATCACATTTCCTTCATGCCCTTGCTTTCAATGTGTTCGCTTGTAGTTTATACAATTCTTCCTCGAAGGCCACCTTGTGGGAAGAACATTCTAACTCTGCTCCGTCTACAGTTCAAAGCCTTCTTACACAGGCTCCCACGGGAGTTTAGAAGCAAGGTATCCCTAGACTGGCATGAAAGTTGTCCTCATGAAGACACTAACGCAACCGATCCATGGTAGGATGCATATGATGAAGATAGGACAGTGGATCTAGACTGTGTGAAGGATTGCCTGCAGATCTTAGACCCTAGGAGGGAACAACTGTGTCCTGGCAATTTGGGAGAACTTGGCTATAAGAACATGTGAGACAACATACCTCCATGTCAGGAGCCCGAGCCCAGGAAAACACATGACGAGTCTACTGCATGTGGTTGCTGTTCATGACACTGTCCTGTCACAGAAGAGTTCAGATATCTTCAACAAACACTGAAGTGCAGCCACAGCATCTACCCTACACACTATTGGTCCAATACTAGCACACTTAAGCATGATCAGGAAGTGAACTGACTTAGGAGATTTTTTTTTTCCCTAGTTGGCTCTGAAATCTCAGGCTGTAAATGTCAACTTTCCTATAGCTCTCTCTTAGAGAGGTGGGCATTGGTTTCCTCTGGCTTCCTTAGCACACACTCAAGAGATCAAGGCTACAGCCTCCTCAGGCATATTCACAGTTGCACAGGATGCAACTTGGCTTCAGAACACTGAAGGAAGTGTTTTCAGAAGCCAGGAAAAAATGGCAAAGTCCACAAAGCATTCAGGTGTTGTGGAGATGCCCAGATTCCCTGCTAGGCCACTACAGCACATGGCTGTAGATAGAAAATCTCATGAAGTCGCCCTACTCACAGCCTAGAACACCCAGATTCTGCAGGTAAAAGCCAGTCTTTATCTTGGTCCACAGGTTCTGTTTTTTGCTGCAATAGAGAATTGCTTGCCACCCACACCTGCTCACTCAGAAACCTAAGGGGCCACTATCAGGGAGACATGGTCAGAGTAATTCTGTTGTAAAGCCTGAGACAAGGGGTTTTGGCCAGAAGCATCTTTCTTGTCCTCTTACTAGTAACAGATATTCACTATACCCAAAGGAATCCACCAACGACGAAGTGGAGTGATGCCTGGAGCGGGGACACTTCCTTGGTCCATCCCTTCTTCTTCATGTTTCCTCTGCCAACCCTCTCACCCCTGACAGTAAGAGTTCTCAGTAAAATAGCAGTGTCCTTCCTAACTCCTGGCTTCTGGAATAGACAAACCAATGTTCTGGAAAACTTGACTTTGAGAAAAACTTGACTATGACAAGCGGGGAAGTCCACTTGCTTCTCAGAGGATCCCAGCTCCTGATCCCCACTCTTGGCAAACCCAGCTCCAGCTCATTTCCTCTGGGAACCTCCAATCCTTGCCCAGGACTCACTGTGCATTTTCCAGGATCATTCACTTCTCGCCGATTCTGAAGACTGACATCATTCTGCTCCTCTCTGGTCTCTCTAGGCTCTCCATTCTATCTCCCAAATAACTTGCTCAGTCTTGCCAACATGTCTATGGGGGAACCCTCGAGCCACTGAACCTACCAAGAGCTACTGGTGTCATCACAACACTGGTGACATCACAGAGTATGATAGGGGTTTCCAGGAACAATAGAATGTTCAGGAAAGAAACTGCTGATGTCAAGGGGAAACTACCCTCACCCTCAACCCTGGTAACTAGCTTGCTCCAAACTGACCAAAAGCCAAGATACACTTTCCAAGAGCCTCTCCTGGAACACAGGGTAAACTCTTCTTCACATCCTCCTTCCAAAGGAAGAACTTTCTCTCTGCTTAATTAGAAACCCCTTAGTACTTCCTATGTGGGAAACTGAGTTTATTTTCCAACACTGCTTAGGAATGTCTCATTCCTTCATTGAGTCACCCTTTGCACGATGTTGAGAAATTACATCAGTACTAACAGGGAGGAGGAAAGACCATCTGCTTCAAGTACAGGCACTTGGAAATATACCCAGAGCGAGCCTCCAGGGCTGAATACAATGTGGGACTTGGGTTAGGGGGCACACACTCAGAGAAGCCATGTGCCTAGTTGTTGACAACATTCCCACAATGTCTCAGCAGATAAGACTCAATACTCCATCACTAATACTCCATCAGGTTCTGGTAAAGTGTGATGAGTAGCTAGCAGAAGAACATGGAATAGTGGCAGTATAGAACCTGCCAAGACAAAAGTGCCCTCAGGCTGAGTGTGGGTGTCCTCTGGTCTGCACTACAGCCAACAAAGGCAGACAGATTGTAGGTCCTGTAGGTTTTGAGATTATGTGCTGAGTCGGGGTGGGGGGAAGGCAAGGAAAAAGCAGCCACGGACAATGCAGAGTGATGGCCCGGCAGGCAGGAAGGCCAGGACTCAATAACACCTGTTATTCTCACAGGCTCTATTGGCCCCACACAATCCCAGCAATTGGGAAGTGAAAAGCAGGATGATGCTAAACTCAAGTCTAAACTGCAAAGCCAGGTTGAGGACAGCTTGGGTACTTGAGATGCACTTTGCTTGGAAAGTTTCCCTGTGCAGCATTTAAATTCAAATAGGCAGAGTGCCTAGCCAGGGCCTAGTCTTTCCATATTGTACCTCACACCCCAAGGTGCTTTCCCAGTAATGCTTTGAGGCTGATATTCTTGGTTCTACATACTCTTGGTTTGAAAAGTAGATTAACAACAAGCACTGCAAATCTCTCAAATAGAACAAAAAATAACAATGCTGTATTTACGTGAGTATATCAGTGGAGAGCACAACATAACCAAAGACTGGAAACCATGATTATGCCCTGGTCTCTGTGGGCCAAGAGCTGGCTCACAGGCAGCTGCGGGTGCACCTTGGGAGCCTCTGCAGGGACAAAGTGATGTAGAATGGACACAGAGGCAGGTTGAGCAGGAGTATAGAACCTGCACTGGTCAGGTAAGAAGCAGACACTATCCTGTTCCCTGTCCAAGGAGCTCCTGTTGAGGCCATGAGCCTTGTTCTGACCATGGGCACTGGTAAGATCGTGCAGGCTTCTGTTTGAGCAACACAAAGTCCTTTCATTCAGCAACAGACAGGACAAGGAGTCAAGTCAGGCGTGGTACCCTCCTCCCATGAACTATGTGACAAAAGCGATGTAGGAGTTATTTGTGTCAAAGACCAGAGGCCTCTTGGATAGGTTAGGGTCTAAAAATCATTCTCAAGTGCCATGAATCTTGTGGTTTCCCAATGACAGCCAAATCTGTCTTGCTGTGTGCCTTGTGACTCTATTGATAGACTTGACTTAGAGGTCTGTCATGTAGCTTGGTAACAGAGTAATTGCCTTGCATTTATAAGGTCTTGGGTTTTATCTCAGGATAGTACAGGCTGGTGGTAATCACTGAGTAATTCCCCACCTCATTCAGTGTTCTAATTCCAAGGAGGCCTAACTTTGCGGCAGGTCTTGATCCTTCACTGGAAGAGGAAGTCTTTAGAACTCAAGCCAGAGAGGTATCTAGTGTACCAATCTTGTTACGAATGTCCAATTGAAGTCTTGTTGATGGGCACCCAGGTACAGCTTAGGAAAAAGTACCAATAGAGGTGTGAGATGGTCAGAGGAGCTCACAGCATGATTGAATTTTGTTTGGTTAGCATGTATGTCCTGGAGGCAAGTGCACTGTGTTGGAATTTGGTGGTTGGAAGTGGTCTGCTCCTCCTGGGTAATGAAGTTGGCCAGAGAGCTTGAATCTACCATATATACTATGAGTTTCCTTATGGGCAAAAGACATTCAGGAAATTCCTTTAAAATCTTTTTATATTTAGGAGCATGCAGCCTATGGTCCAATTGGAGACTCCAGATGTAGGGCTCAAAGCCTGGTGCTGATGCTGGGCAGTGGGCTTGTTAGCTGTTATTATTAGTCTGACCAGACCTAGATAATTCATGGGGAAAGACTGATTCTCAATGGAGAATTATCTACATTACACTGACTGTGGGCATGTCTGAGGAGGATTTTACAGATTGTTAACTGAGGTGGGAAGACCCACCGTAAGAGGTAGAATCACTTCATCATCTGGGACCTGAACTGTGTAACATGAAGGAAGCTACAGCCTGACTGTGTGATATGACAGCTGACTGAGAGGCAGGCAGGTGACATGGCTGCTCTTTCTCTCTGCTCCTGACTGCGGGTGTGATGTGACAGCTGACTGAGTGCCTGCCTTGACGTCCCTAAATGGATTCTAATCTGGAACTGTGAGCTATTCTTCTCCCTGCTAAATTTCTGGATTTGGGACCTGGCTGTAATGAAGAAGATGATAAGATGCCACTCTGTGGCACTGGGGATGGCATAAGCCAGTTAGACATTAAAGTAAGTCATGTTATGGTCAACAGCAGCACATGAGTCCCAGGACAGGAGCTCTGCCTCCCCCAAACCAACTCTTGTGATTTTCTAGTCACAGTATTACAAAGACACAACCATTGACTCACACACCATGTCCACAAATGGCTCCAGACAAGTGTCTTGCAATATCAAATGCTACCCTAATTTCTGCTAATCCATTAAACAAAACAAGCCTAACTTCATTGGAAAGAATTTTTCTGTGGATTTCCTGACCCTTAGAATTTTGAAATTTAAGGGAATGGATCTGAAATCACAGCCCTAGAGATGAATCTCAATCTTATGCTACACCCTTTCTTGGAGGTCAGGAGAATCTCCTTAAAGGTCAAACCAGAGAAGCACCTTTAGCTGCCAGGTATGGAGGGCATACATAATAAGTGGCTGTATGTCCACTAGTAACTTTAGTCCAGAGATGAATGCTAGGACTGATGCATGCACATCCCTGTGAGGACTTCTTGGCTGCCCTCTAACTTCTGTGCTTCTCAGAGAGACTTCTGGAAACAGATCTTTGACAAACTTCCTTCTTCAAAAATATATAGAAGTGATGAGAAGGGAAAACTCACTCTGATGAGGCCCTTCTCCTCCTAGGGCATGGGACAGCCCTTTCTGAACAACTTCAGAGGGCTGTCTGAGGAGACTGACAGCTTTGTGGGGGAACTCTGACAACCACATTTAGGATGCATGTCTGAGGAAAGAAGAGTGGAAAAGCCAGAAATCCAAGGTAGAGACTGTTATGTGGCTGTCTGTTTAGGCTGTCAGTTTCCTTCAGCTAGAGAAAGGAGGTTTGAGATGGCTCATGGAAATGTGAGTGGACAGAAGGAAAACCATATAAAACCACTCCCTTCAGAAGAACAGCCTTTAATCCCAACAGGAACTGTTCTCTTCTCTCTCTGGCCCACAAGCTGCTAAGGGCGTTCTGCTGCTGCTGTTTGTTTCCCTTGCTCTTTTCATTCTCTCTCCTCTTACATGCTTGTCTTTATTGATTTTATTATGTACATTGAATCACTTTAGACA